ATTGCACATATGTTACTATTTTATAAATTACTTAATAAAGATATAAGCAAGACTTCACCTTAAAAAAAAAAAAAAAATATATATATATATATATACTATAAGAACTGATATTTTTATAACCTTCATATCTATCTAAAAAATCAAGTAATAAATAACATTTTTCTTAATATTAAAAAACAAATTTTGCTTAATATATAGTTAATATTATATTTAATTCTTTAAACAATATTTTATTTTAAAATAAAATATTTAAGCAAGAATGTTAAGTATAGCAATTGATGAGGAACCTTCAGATGAACTTCTTAAATAGGTAATATAGAAAAATTACACGTATAGCAGTTGTACTCTTGTTATTAATAAAGTCAATGACCAAAGAGAATTTATATACAGTTGACTCTTTCTATAACGAACTGACGTTACTGAAAGAAAAAAAGGTTCGTTGTAAAAATTACTATGAACTCATTGCACTTTCTATACCGAACTATTAAAATTTTGAATTCATTATATCCAAAATCCAATTGAATTTATTTGGACACTGTCCAACTCCGGTTACGACTTAGGCCTAAAAGAATAATTTTAACTTCATAATTAAGTATAAATTTTATGATACTGTACTGGTGAATCATTTTCTGGCGAGTTTTAAATAAATTAAATTTTCAAGACCGGTTTTGACATTAAATAAACATTTATTTAACATTCGCAAACAATTTAAAAATAATCATACATCTATGTACATACGTAAGTCTGTCGCCATTATTTTCGATAGAGCTAAGACTATTTATAAAAGTTACACAATATATAGTGATAAAAGTTCTTGTGTAATTTTGATTAATCACCTGATCGCGTGGTCTTAAGAAAAATTTACGTTTGTCTCCAAGGTGTTTCAAAAAAAAAAAAAAAATGACGACCTACGAAGATCAAGCGACTACTACGCAGTACGCACAGTATGCTATTGATCCAACTGATCCATCACTCTGTAAGTATTTTGGAAATTGATGTCTGGCGATCGAAGCTTAGTGCGAAGGCCTTCTAGCAATCAAAATAAATCTTTGTGTCTCTGATGAACTAGTCCTTTCTTTCTAAATTAAGCACAAACCAACGGTGTTGCTGAGCAAGCACAAATCGAAGAAGGCACTAATTCCGAATCTCTGCCACAACAATCCGATCTAGAACGTTACTGGGATATTGTCAGGTCTAATCCTGATGTAATAACTTACAATTACTTTATAACGCGTTCTGGTCTCTTTTATATTGTCGATTGATATATTTGTTGCATACTTCAGGATTTCACATCATGGGAATATTTGATTCGCGTTGCTGAAACTGCGGAAGGCGGCCTCACAGCGCAGTCACCTCCAGAAAATATAACAAATATGCGTGACGTTTTTGATCAATTCTTAGCAAAATTCCCTTTATGTTTTGGTTATTGGAAGAAATATGCAGATTTCGAATTTAACATTCAGGGGCCGACAGAGGCTGAAAAAGTATTGATTCGTTTGTTAGTTCATTCGTTCATTCATACATGGACACGCTTTTTGATAATTTATGAATTTAATCATTTCCACAGATCTATGAACGTGGTGTAGCTGCCATAGCGAATTCAGTTGATCTTTGGACGCAATATTGCGCATTTAAAATCGAACACTATCCGGACGATGTGGAGGCCATTCGAGGGTAGGTTCCTTGCTAATTTCTGTTAATAAATCGTCTTTCTGTCTTTTCGTATTGTTTTTGCCATTTCGTATTCGATTTGGTTTGTTATTCTATACACTATTTCTTATGCTTCAAAAGTAAGACAGAGTTGTCTCAGATTAAAGTCCGAACAGAATGGCAGTAAAGACGAAGTGATTGTACTTTGTTGTTTTCTGGTTATTTGCATTGTTTTGTATTTGTTATAAACCGTTTTTACTTGTCAAGTACAGCAAAAGATGATTAAGATGATTAAAGAATCACTGAGGAGATAGACAGTACCAGGTGATGATGATTCAGAGGGTACCCGACGGAGAGTGCGACCCATGCCCTCCCCTATTTCGTAATCATTTCAGGGCTCGGGTCAATTGTAATCTAAGTTATAGCTTTTTGAGTTTTTACTGCTGTCTTCGTTTTTAGCAAAGCTTTGTTTTCATTTAATTATATACAAGTATCTTCTGTCGACATCTAACCATATGATTACTTATTTTTATCAGGTTATTTGAACGCGGTGCTGCATATGTTGGCCTTGACTTCCTTTCCCACTTGTTTTGGGACAAATATATAGAGTTTGAGAAATCAAAGCAGGCATATGATCGGGTTCTAAAAATCTTGGACAGAATTATACGCATTCCAATGCATCAATATGCTAGATTCTTTGATGAGTACGTTTTATTTATATACTATACTTTGTTAAAATTATTCATTGACACTGCTTTATATTTACTTATTTGATATAATTTAGATTTACAAATTTGTGTGGAACGCGGCCAATAGCAGAACTCATCACACCTGAACAATATCGACAATTTGAGGAGGAAGCGCGAACAGCTCCTCCTGTTCCACCTGAAGGGACGGAGGGTGAGCAACCCCCTCCTCCTACAGAAAAAGTGCAGTTCTATGTTACTAGCTAATTTTAAACTGATATATATTAGATAACGTAACACTAATTTCATATATTTTATTTTATCTAGACAGAAGAACAGATTCAAAATGACATAAGAACACGAATTTACAATATGAATATTGAGACATATATGAAAACGCAAAACGAAACCAATAAACGTTGGGTCTTTGAACAGGAGGTAATGTAAAGCTACATTGATTTTCGAGAATATTCAGAAATTCCATATTCTTGCATTTAAATAATTAATTTTCCCAATATTTATCACTAAGATTAAGAGACCTTACTTTCATGTAAAAGCTATGGATGATGTTCAGTTGATTAATTGGAGAAGATACCTTGACTTTGAGGAAAGTGAGGGAGATGATACTCGCATTCAAGTGTTATATGAGAGATGTCTCGTAGCCTGTGTAAGTAATTTCTGAAAATGGGCTTTGATAATGATATTTTGTATATTCTCATTTAACTAAAATAATAATTGTGAAATAGGCTTTATATGAAGAATTTTGGCAAAGATATGCTCGTTGGATGATATCTAAAAATAGACTCGATGATGCACGTAATATATATGTAAGGGCTACTTCCGTGTTCATTCCAATCAGGTTAGCAATATAAATGACCTTTGATTGTCTACGACGCTAATCTTGAATTCCCAAGTTCATGACTAATCCAATTTATTACACCCAGTCGCCCAAGTATTCGCTTGTCCTTTGCTTGCTTTGAAGAGCAACAGGGAAATATTGACGAATCCAGGGCTATATATAAAATGGTCTTGGATGCTTGTATGGATTTAGATATTTTTTTCCTTCTATAATCGAAATTTACCATATTAAAACTCTTTTAAATATCTTTAAAGTGCCGGGCCATGTTGAGGCAATAATGAAATACGCACATTTTGAAAGACGTCGGTATCTTGATGATTTGTCGGTTCCCATTAACATTCTAACATCTTCGCTCCAGGGAAATAATCTCGATGACAAATCTAAAGCTTTTATTACAGTACAACATGCTAATATGCTATGGCGTGTAAGTATGATTGAAATTTTGATGTTCAGAATTAACAATATTAAGCTTATTCTAGCTTTGGGTATATATTAAAAGAATAAAGGTTCAATAGAAGAAGCACGTCAGATTTATCAAGAAAACTCAACGAAATATCTTGATAGCAAATATTTTTGGTTGAACTATTTTAATTTCGAATTATCTCAAATCGGTTAGTATCGATTATTGTTATTTTATATTTTGTGTCAGATTCTCATAGTGACTGTATTGCATGTCCAGGCTCCACAGTAGAAGCTAACTTGAAAGCGGTTTATGATCTGATTCGCAATACATCTACGCTTTTACCAGAAACGATAAGGGATTTTTCGCATAGATATCTTGATTTTCTTATGGAACGTGGTTCAACTATAGCTGTTTACAATAAGATCGATGTCGAAGCTAACGGCCCCATCACTGTACGTCCGGTCTTGGACACCAAAAAACGTGGAGCTGATGAAGAGCCAGAAAAACTTTCAAAGCAGGTCAGAATGGATGGCGTTGTTGATGCAGCAGCAGGAACACCTGTAATTCCAGTGACACCGTATACTACGACTACTGGTGTGCAACCACCATATTATTCTCAAGGCCAATGGAGTGCATCAGGATATTCTGTTTACCCCACAGCTAATGCTGCTCAGTCGGTTGGTATCAATTAGGTTTTCAATGTTCATTTTTAACATATCAAATCTAATTTTTATCTATTTTTAAGGCATCATATCAATACCCTTATCAGTATCCTCAACAAGCTGCGACTACGCCTACCACTCCCGCACAGGCCCCTGTGACTACGTGGGACTACGCACAGCCAAGTACTACAGGATATTAGTTCTGTGAAGAGATGAATGAATTTAATTTGTTTTGAGTTTTTTTTTTGGTTTTTTTTTTTTTCTTGTTGATTCTTTTGCTGATCACGTGTTTGAGATGTTTGCTCTAGGAAATTGACAGCTGACTAGTGATTGTAGTCGACAAATTTATAAGCTTAGCTGAGTCGATAATTTTGATCCGGCTTAGTCGGCTATTATATCAAAAAATTAAACCTGCCAATAACGATAATATTTCAAAATTTTTGAACTACAAACTTTAATCCGGAAACTCCAGCTGCCGTGCTCGTATTTTACTTTGTTGTTTTATTTTACATAAATAATAAAAACGTCGTTGTGTATCGTTATTGTTTCTGATGTAAAAAAATATATATAAAAGCGTCGTTGCGTAAAGCTTTCGGAAAAGTCGTTATTCCTGAAGTGTAGGAGTTTGATTCTTTGAATATTATTCATAGCTATCCAATGAATATTTATGAGCCGCGTCAGTGCATGGATTGTAACATAACGGATCTTGATATTTTTTGTTTCAGATAGAAGTTTTTTAATATTAGTTTTTAGATTATTTATATTTGGTGCACCCAATAGCAAATAAGTACAAATAATGGTTAGAAGTTGGATAGGGTAAAATTGCACGGGGGATATTTTTTATTAATTACACGAGAGGGTTACTTTAGTAAAATTTCGAGATTTCGAGAGATGCACTAGAGAACAAGGTGAATTAAAATAAATTCTCTAGTTTTCATTATTTTTTAATATTTTTTTTGGCTAGATACTTCATGCTGTACACATGTTTGAAGAGTACATAACCTTTGGTTGCTTATTTAGATAGTTTACTTATATTTAAGTTTTATATTAGTTGTTAAAAATAATGTAAAAATAAACAAATTTGTTTACATTAATCTACAATTTAAAAAATAATATTTGATTTGATTTAATTTTAAAAAATCTTAATTAAAATTTAAATTATGTATAAGTAAAACACAAATAATTCTAACAAGTTTATCTTAAAAACAAAAAGCAACCTTTAGAATTGATAGCATAGTAGTTATGTTTCAAGGTTACAAATCACAAGGTTGCTGGTTTGAATTCTAGTAATGACAATTGTAGAGATATATTTTCAAAAATAAAGAACTGCAACATTATAAAATTAGGAATTCAGGATTTCAATAGACAGATTTATTTTTAAAAATGGTTAGTTGAGAAGTCATGCAATAAAGAACATGAGTTAGAACCTAATTTGGAATAATCAAAGTTATAAATGTAATGTAAGACTAAAAGTTTGACACTTATAAATATTATATGAACTTACAGTACATAATCAATTCTGAATAGAAGTTGTTAAAATCTTCTAATCTCAACAGAGATTAGTGTGATAAATTATTTCTGAAAAGTTTAAAAATACAGACTAGAGAAGGTCAGAGTCCAGTAATCTTCATTATTGAAAACATTATTTGAAATATATATAGACACAAAAAATCTTAACAAGCTGTCAAAAAAGGAAAAAAAAACAAAAAAAAAACAGTTTTTTAAAAAAATAAATCTGTTCTAAAATTTCAAATTAAGTATATAAAAATAAAAAAAATATTAATACTTAATTGTTTAAATAAAAATACTAATATAAATACAAAATTTTTACATTTTAATAAACAGTTCAAACAGAAAGACATAATTGAAGATAAAAAAGTAATAGAAGAGTTTTACAAGCCATTTGCAGAAGTCAGAGAAGAGTAGTATGAGGAGTTAAAGACAGAAATAACAATTGAAGAATAGATAAAAGCAATAGAAAAAACTAAAAATAAAACAGCATTAGGCATATTGAATATTGGATACAGACTAATTAAAAGCACAAGTAGTAAAACACAAGTAGTAAAACATAAAAAGTCTTTAAAAAAGTTGCAAATATGTGTTTGAGACTAGAAAGGATATCATACAAGTAGAAGTTAGTATAAATATATTCAATTCTAAAGAGTGAGAATTGAAGTTATAAGCTTTGTAATATTAAACCAATTGTATTATTAGAAATGTTTAGAAAATGCTTAACCAAGGTAGCAGCAAAAAAAATGTTTAGGATAATAAAAGAAAAAAAGATACTCAAGAGTTCAAACTTTGCTAGTCTACTCGGAAACTTAACAGAAAAAGCAATTCACATTGTAGAAATAATAAAAGAAGATATAAAAAAAAGTAATAAGAAATTATGGGTGCTAATGCAATATATGAAGAAAGCATACAATTCAGTATTAATGAAGTTATTTCAGCTAGCATTATAGAGAATTAAGTTACTGAATAAAATAGTAAGGTTTATTATAGAGTTATATAGCAGAAAAAAAGTTAGCATTATAACAGAGTTTGGGTTAACAAGAACATTTGTCACTGGAGATAGAATTAAGCAAGAAGAAACAATTTTACTACTAATTTGAAGAATATTTTACAATCTATTATTAAGAAGAATTCAAGATGATTAGCAGTTAGGATATGAAATTGAAGCATATAAAGTGCTAGACTTACAAATGAACAGAATTAAAATTAGAAAGGTAAAGTAAGCTGCAATAGCATATGCTGATGATACAACTTGGATAGCAAAAAGTAGAAAGAAGATATAAGAAATTATTTAGATTTTACAAAAATTCTTTAGATTCAATAATATTCAAATCAATAGTTCCAAGTCAAAGCTATTGATAATTAACTCAGATGTAGAAAGAGAAGAAAAGTTTGTTCTGATAAATAATTTTCAACTAAAGGTTGAAGACAAGTATGTATTAATGAAAATGCTAGAGGTATAGTTAAGCATAGAAGCAAATAAAAGTTTAGTCATTAAAAAGACAAGAAGAATCATATAACAGTTTATATGAAGTATATGATTTAAGAAGTTAACTATCAATTAATTAATATATATTAATAATATAAATATAATATCAAAATTAGCATATATGTTGCAAACTACAAAGGCATCTAAAGGCAGCTAATTTGCTTATATCAACCAATAATAGATTGATCAAGAACAAAATAGGGCTGTTATTAACTACAAAAAATAGTGCAATTATGCATCAAGGTTTAGAAAGGTGTAAAATATTAAATCAAGAAATTTTTAATAATCAGTTGGTGTTATTACAAAGAAGGCTAAATAAATTAGATCAGATTGGTAAAATGACAAGAATATAAATAAAACAGGGCTTTGCTCTAGCAAAAATAATATTAGAAGAATTAGATGCAGTTTTGTTAAGTAACTTAAAGCAGATTTGGAAAAATAATTTGGCATGTTTAGTTATACTTAAAGCAAAAGAAATAGGGTTAACAGTAAAGAAAGAAAAAGGTCTTTGGCATGTTTATAGTATAGGCAAAACTGTATATAGTTTAATAGAAAAGAAAACATTTAGAGTAGCATATAGAAGTTTAATAAAGTATAAGTATTTTTTATATAACAGTTAATTGATCAAGATGATGAAAGAATGATCATATGAAAGAAGTTTAGAACATTAAGAACAAGTATACAAAAAGGATGAAAAGCAAAATGATTTGCAGAAAATAAACAAAAAATAATAAGCAATCAAGATGACAGAACAGTTTGAACAGAATTTCAAATACAAGGCATAAACACTATAGTAATGAAATTGACATGCAAAAAGCTAATACAAGATAAAAGAAGACATAAATGTGTACTAGTAAACAAGAAGAATATGAATTCAATAATAGACAGAGTAATTAAGAAAAGAAAAAAAGACATACTTATAAATTACTAAAGTATATCAAAAAATGAGAATAGGAAATATTCAGTATTTGTAGAATGTATAAAGTACAATTTGGATAATAGAAATAATGCAAAAAATTGTTAGTATTAGGTTAAAAAAAAAGAAATAGCAAGCATGCTGCTAGGAATTAGACAAGAGAACAAACAGAAGATTTCAGTTTTGTTAAAAAAATTAAATGAATATAAGAAGAGTTATACAGAAAATAGAACCAATAATAAAAAAAGAGTTGTAAATAAAAAAATAAGAATATATATGCATAAGATCAGTCTATTAAAGATGCAAGGTTTTGATAGTAGTCTAGAAACCTTGTTATTGGAGCAATTGAAGAGTAACATAAAAGTAGATCATACAAATTTCAGCTTTTATACAGATAGATTATTAGTAAGAGAGAAAAAAAATTACAGAATGGATGCAAGTTGAATACAGGTTAGTAAAGATAAAGGTAGATTAATAATAAAAGAGAAAATTAGAATAGTGAAATGGTCATTATCAACAAAGACAGAGTTAGCTGCAATGTGGATAGTAGTATTAGTCATAGTATGTAATAGTAAGATAGTCATTAAATTAGATAGTGCAGCAGCAATTGCAAGTCTGAAAAGAAAGAAGCCATTATATAATGTGAGAGTATAGAATAAAAGTAAGAATTTTAGATTAGTTACAAAGATTAAGAATATGTGCAAGTCAAAGAACATTAGGCTATCATTAGTTAAAATTAAAGCATATAATAGAATAGTATAAAATGAAAAAGCTAATAAGCTTGCAAAAGAGAGTGTACAGTTTGGTGAGATTACAGAATTGAAGCTTGAGAAAAATTTGAGATTTTTATATACATTATTTTGAAAAGAAACAGTAGTAGAGATACCAACAAGAAAGTTTGTCAAGACATTAACAAATATGATAAATGGTGCTGAGTAACATTGCTCAAGTACAATGAAAAAGCTAAAGCCAGATGCAGAAGTACAACATGATTGGAAATAGCTATAGAAAAAAAACAGAAGTTTAACAGAAAATAGATATAAATTTTTAGAGGAGAGCAGGAAAATTTCATTTAGAATTAAGTGTATTTCTAATAGTTTATCAGAGCTTGAGGTATTAAAAAAGAGAGTATCAAACTTGTATGATTCAAATATATATAAGGAATGCAAGATAGAGAAAGAATCATCAAAGCATTTATTCAGTTGTAAGAAATATAAGGGTTATTAGAACAATATTGAAGAGTTAGCATATTGGCTAGTATAAAAAAAATTTGACAAGTTAAA